AGGCAGATATCTGCTCCACTGCCCATGGGCTGCAGGGGGACAGCCTGCGTCACCATGGTCTTCACCACAGGCCACAGGGGAATTGCTGCTCTGGTGCCCGGAGCATCTCCTCCCCCTCCTTCTGCACTGACCTTGGTGTCTGCAGACTTGTTTCTCTGACATATTCTCATTCCTCTCTCACGCTGCAATTACTGCTGCAGAATAACTTTTCCCTCGTTAGCACAGAGGCCCTCCCACTGTTGCTGACAGGCTCGGCCAGGGCCAGCAGCGGGTCCCTCTTGGAGCTGGCTGGCATTGGCTGTATCGGGAAACTTCTGGCAGCTTCTCACCGAAGCCACCCCTGTAACCCACCTGCTACCAAAACCCATTACAGCATGGCGGGGGGCGGGGGCTGCAGCAGTGCAGCCCTCCAGCTTGGGAGGTTAGAGGGGTTTGAAGGCAGGGTAGGAAAGGGGAGGTAATCTCACCCTGTGCTGGGAGGTGATGGGCTGCCTGCCACTGGAGCTCCTGGCACTGCAGGTGGGTTCCTGCTGGTAACAGGTACAGTAACAGGGAAGAGTAAGAGTGCAGTGAATATTCACCAGTCTCACTGCACGGGGGCTGGTCTGCATCACAGCCTGAGTGGGGAGGAACTTCAGGTAATCCCAGAACGTCTTGTGGGAGGGGGTGGCCCAGGGCTAAGGGATTGGAGGAGGAACCTGGGGCCCTGGGCTCTCATCTAGACCACCATCTCCTCTTTCCTCACAGGTCGCTGACAAAGAACCTATTCAACCCCCAGTTTGGAAGCATCTTCCGCACCTTCCACAACCCCACGTACTTCTCTCGCCGGCTGGTGCGGTTCTCCGATATCTACATGGCTTCCATCAGCTGGCTGCTGAACTACGACGTGAATTTCACCTTCTACCCCCGGCGCACCCCATTGCAGCATGAGGCTCCGCTCTGGATGGATCAGCTCTGCACAGGCTGCATGAAAACACCCTTCCTGGAGGAGATGGTACACATCCGGTGAGGGCCAGGTACTTCGGGCAACAGCACACTGCAAGGCTGTACGTGGGGCCGGGCTGCTCGGCCAGCAGCACCTCTGTCTACCACTAAAGGACGTTTGACACTTACGTATGTGTGTAGCTGGTGTGTTTATTTTTTTCCCTTCACTGGCTCCATCCGTTTCCCTGAGGTGTTTTGCAGGCTGGACAGAGGAGGGGTGCTTGTTCTGGGCCATGCGAGTTGCAGGAGCCCCCTGTAGTGGTAGGTGAGATGAAGAGCCAGTGCTGGTGGTGGGAAGCTGATGCTCCCTGCTCTGGGCCCAGCGAAGGTGCTCAGAAATGAAGTCCTGAGTCGCCTGTGCTTGGTGAGCACAACGCAGACTCCCACATGAGGTGTGTCAGGTCTGTAGCTGTCCCGAGATCCTTGGGTACTACAGCCTGAGTGATTCTGCAGGGGGACAGCATTGCTGACTGGGCAACCAGTGAAGAGCATCTGTGAATGCATCACAGATGACAAAGCATCAGCAGTGTTACCTACCCAGAATGGGTCCCAGCAGCCCTCAGCCCCACCTCACTCCCTGCCAGACTGCTCGGTCCAGCTGGTGACTCCAGTAGGTAACTGGTAGCTAAATGTGCAGGATGTGCAAGTCCTGTGTGAGAGCTGGGTGGGAGTAGGTCAGGTATGAAAAGTAATTGTTTGGTGACATACCTGGTTTTTGAGTGAGCTTAGTGCCATGTGCTGTGAGTACTTTTTGGGCTTGGTGCCATGTGACACCAACATTTTGGCAATTGATGTGGTATGGTCTGTTGTGACTCACAGAGGGATGCGTTCAGCCCTTCAGGGAAGGTGCAGGGTTGTCAGCAGTGGTGGTGGCCTTCCACCTGTGTTCACTGAGATGTGGCCTCAGGCGCAGGGAGGC